TTGTTTAAGGTGATATTAGAGATAGACGATAAACTGGTTACAGGAAGGACCAGAGAGGGTCTCCAACATCATGGGAGATAGAGACAAGGGCATTTTTATATATGATGAGATCAAGGGAAAAGGGCAAATAGGAGGGGGAAAAACAGAAAAGCAGAAGAGGCTGATTCACCCCCCCCCCCCCCCCTTGTGAGTTTCACAGTAAAGGAGATCAGTGATGGAAATCAAGCTTTAAGCTCTGCAGGCCTGGTCCGGTGTTTGGGATGGCTGTCTACATCCAATGTTGTCTGCCTCTGGCTGCCCAGTGATTGTTAGTGGCTTTGCTGGTCCATTCAGGCCTGATGACTCCTTAAATTCTGACGGATGCCTTCAAGTTTAGCTGCATGGGAATTGGTGAGAAGTACCAGGAAAGGTCTTTTCAACAAGGGAAGGAGTACTTTTTCAGTAGAGGTATTCTCTAGGAAGTAGGTCCTGAGAGGAATCAGATGTCAGGTTGTATTCTTGGTCAGCATAGGCTTCTTTAATAGATCCCACTGGGCAATGTGATGGTCAGAGTACGGGGAATGCGGCAGGTCACTATTTCACAGGGAACAAGCTCATGTTTTTCAAAAGTTAAGGACCTTACATTCTCTGGACCAGTGACAGCACCTTGGTCCAGTGAAATCCCAAGACACACGTTTTCCTAATTGGGTTTTAATGATGCCACATTATTCCTTCCCACGAGTCCTGCAGGTGCAGGATGATATGGGCAGTGCAGCCTCTGCAGCATAGGAAGGACTTGGAGAGTTCTTGGATTGCCAGGCCAGTAAACTGAGTCCGGAGGTTACTATGTAAAACATCTAGGGGTGATGTTTTCAAGTAATTTCTTTGCTACAAAAAGGACAGTTACTTAACAGGAAAAGTGTCTCCCCTGTGAGAAACATGCAGACCACAACCAATACATATTTGTTCACCTGTTTTTAACAATTAAGTTTAATCATGAAAATTTCTCAAGATACTAAGCAGCAAACCAAACCTTGTTATTTTCCTTGCTGACAAAACTTATTTGACTACTAGAATAAAAGCTGTATTTCTGCATTATAGTAAAGCTGATAACTGAATACATACCTAGTTTAATTATATCAACAAACTTAAACTAGCTTTTATTTATTAAATATTTATCCCAGATCACATGAACTTGAAACATCCGGATTAAGTTCCCACATTTGAGCATTTAGAACACTTAAAGTGCTTCTCTTTTTTAAAATAAAGCCCCTGTCAACTACAGCAGGGTTTATTCTGTTTTGAGCAAAGGTAAGTTGTTTTATGGCCAGAGTGATCATGATGCAAAGCTTGGGTCTTGTGAGGTCCAAATGTTTTGTTCATTTGTGTAGATACTAGGAAATTAAGAAAGGTTTAAAAATTACTGCAAGTTTTAGTACAGCATTAAGGGCATCACCCAATCTGTACAAATTCCTCTTTTTCTTTAAGCCAATTCAGTAGAGTTCATTTACGAACTGGTTTTGGCACTACCATCCGGAAATAGAGAAAAATATTATACATTTACAATATACGAACAGAAATTTTAATTTTAAAATCTTAGCCTTGAGACAAACAACAGAAACAAGACACGTTTCTGGCAGAATCTTGATTCCATCCATCCTTTAGTTAAGCATTAGGTCGCTCAAAACCAAATTCATTTAGGAACAATTCTTGAGAATGGCAGGCGATCTAGTGTCAGTCTAGCCCGAGTCTGAGAGTGAGGTGGGAAGTTCTCTAACAGCTTTTAAGTGTTCAACCTGTACCCATCAGTTTTGCAGCTTTGGCTTCTGAGATTCCCATTAACCTCAGAACTATTGTCCCTTTACCTCATGTGCACATTAACAGAGAGATGGCACTGTGGACTGGTCAAGAGAGAGCCTTAGGTGTGCACCACTAGCAGTTCCCAAAGTAAAACTGGATAACCAAGGGCTAGTGACTGGTGCTCTGTCAGAGGCTCCTGTGGGTCTAGACTGACCCATTAACCCTGTACTGGAAAGAGAGCCGAACTCAGGACCCAGAGGAACTTCCCATGGCCCTCAGAAATGGGAAGGAAGAAAACTCAAAAGGTTCACAGGGACCAGTGCCTGTTTCTCGTCTGTGAAGCTGAGAGATACCTTCTTTGGGTTCTGCCACTGCCATCAAACTTAAAAAACACAACTCAACAGTAAATTTTCAAAATCTTTTTGGCTTTATTCATTTAAGTTACAACATAATTCCTTGAGGAATTAAAAACTGGACTTGTCTTACAAATCTCCTCTTTACAAGAACAGAAATGCAACACCCAGAGCCCACCTATCCTGACCAATCCTAAAACCTCCCCTATTCATCGCAGAAGGCTTGCAGATATTGTGAAAGATTTGGGAAACAACTTTTCCCTGTGCCTTTGAGATATAAATGTTCTACCTGGTCTTTTCTAGGAGTTCTCACGTGGGCTATCTCTGAAATAAGAACTTTAAGCAGGTAATTCTTATCAGAAGGAAAAAAAGAGGGGGGAGGCTATTTGAAACTTAAGACATAAAAATGTCTTCACAAATATTAATGAAAAGTTTTAGCCATCTGAGCAGGTAACAACTTCCCGAAACACGATTCGGATCCAACTGTTCTCTTAGGAGCTAGTGAGTACGGCTAAGGGGAAGTGGCGCCAGGGCCTGCTCGTTGTCTCACCCCCTCCGCCTCCTGCAACTGCTCTCAGGAGGATCCGGACTTCCGTGCAGTGAGCAAGCTCTCAGCCTTGTCTCAGCATATGCCCATCTTTGAGCCCAGTGACTGGCTGTAGGACTCTAACTGGCCCCCCTGAGTCACCTGTCCACTCTAGAAGAGGGTATGGAGTGACACCTGGTGGGGAACAGCCACCTTTTGCCACAAAAAGTTTCTCAATTTCTCAGGCACAGTGGCAAAAGTCTGTATTGTCAGGGCAGAGAGGGATTTTGCAGGGTGGGTATAACGGAGTCAACCATTTACCATGTAAATGCTCTAAAAGATATCCATGGCTAGTACATAACTAAGGGTCTTTGTTATGTTGCTTCTGAAAACACATTTAAGCAGCATTACCCAGGGTTCCAGGCACAGGACTCTCAATAAAGCCCACAGTATGCTCACAGGTACCTTGCTTGGGTTTTTTCTAAAAAGCCAGCTGAGAAACATTTACAAAATCCACAATGCCTCATCCATTTGTTCCTGGAGAAGTCAGCATCAAACGGAAAAGTGGCGATGACTGATCATTCTCAATCATAAACTTGCTTTTCTTCAAACCACGTTAGACTGGGGGGCTCTTCCTGACACCGATCTCAACCACAGCACTCGGTACGGGAGATCAGCAGCAGGGGAGAGACCTTCTGACATGTATGAGAAGGCCTATGCTGTTTCCAAATAAATCTTTCCACTCCCTAACTGGCATATGCTCTTGGGAGGTCAAGCCCTTTGCAAGCCGTAACAATACACAGACCTAATGACTCCTAGTCACAGCCCAATGTCATTCACAGGAACATTATTTCAAAAACGGAAGGCTATGGTTAAAGGCCTAGAGGTTTCATCCCTTCAGGAATCAGCACAAATGAAATTACACTGTGAGTAAAAGCAAAACACATGAGAATGGGCACACAAGACACTCGAGGCCACACTGCAGCTGTAGGAACAGAGTGTCCAGGTCAGTGGTGCCAACACCAGGCACTGCAGCCAGCAGGGAGGGCTCTTGGTTGGGGAGTGCGGGGGGCACATGGCACAGGGTCTGCTGGGCAAAGTCCAACTCATTCCCACCTTCACCCAGATGAAGTGTGAGCTTTACCTTGCCCTGAAGGAGCTGGTTCAAGATCACTAGAGAGGGGCTATTTCTCCTGAACATGACCCCTAGTGATTATTAGCTTCAACATACACAGTTGTGTGATCACATCTCGCTATGTAAACATTCCTTCTTAACCTACACAGTGACCTACCTGAAAAACTTTGAAGTCTTTTATTTTTTATGTACTTTCCTATATATTTTCAATATGCCTTTTTTTTTTTATAATCGTAAAACATGTTATTTAAAATACTAAGCATTGATTCAAAAATTTAAAAAACTCAATTCACAACATGACTTCATTTTCACTATGGGAAATCTGATGTCTTGCTTCTAGGACAGAAAAAATATGGTTAGCTCCAGGGTCCCAGGGAGGACAACCCAAAGCCACTGTTCTGTGGAAAGGAATCCTGAGAAACTCAGCGCACCACAGACCAATTAAACCAGCACCTCTGCAGTGAAGCCCAAACCTGAGTGTTTTTAGATTTCCTGGGTGATTCTGGCGTGCAGCCCAGCTGCCTAAGGAAACGTTAGCTCCACTCCTTCAGATGTTCACGGTTTAGGTCCCCTGTATGTGGGTTTTTCAGTCTACTCAGCACTGTATCAGGCCTAGTTCCTTGTGGACAGGGAAGACTGCCGATCAGTAGGAAACCCTACATAAATAAGCACGCACTTGTGAACGCAGGACAGTTAGTGCCATTTCCTACTAACCGTCTCTTCTCCTTGGATTCCCTGTAGGAGCTACAGTGACAGCTGCTTCCTGGATTCCTCTCCGTATCCAGAACTAGCTGACGTCCAGTGGTACAGCCAGGAGAAAGCCAAGCCCGGGACCCTCGTGTGAGCCAGCCGGCCTCAATCCGACCACCTCAACACCATTCAGAGATCACCTCACTGCCTCTCATTTGCCTTACCCAGACGCACTGTCACCCTGCACCAGCTTTGCCCTCAGCACTTTTCCTCCCGTCTCCGCATCCCCTCGCACTCAAAAACCTGACTGAGGAGACATTCTGGAAGGTTCCGGTCCCACTGTGTGTCCCCTGGCTCTCCTGCCCACAGAGAGCCAGGCACCTGTGCTCAATGGCACCTTGGTTGCTTCCTCCTGCCATGACAGCCCCCAGGCCAGGAACCACCAGGGAAGCCGGCTAGCACTGAATTCCTGCGGACGAATGGCGTACAGAGAACAGGAAAGGAAACTTACTGTGGTGCTCCAGGAAGACTGTTCAGCTGTGTGGCCAGCCTGCACCTGGAGGCCAGCCAAGCAGTTCAAGACTAGGATGCCTGGTGGGGAAGTGTAGTTGACACTTGAAATGTTCCTTGAGAGAGTGGGAGAAAATCAAAAAGGAAGCTTAACACATCAGAAATGCATCAGAGGATCATAATCAGTTCTATGCTGCCAAAGATTTAAAAAATAAAAACACAAAAAAATAAGAGGGGCCAAGAGGAAGACATTCTTTGCGTAATGAAATCTGTTTCTAATTCTAAACTGCTACGACACACAAGTCAAAATCAACCATTTGTAAATTGTCTCCCCTCTTTGTCCTGCCCCCTTAACGTCCACCTCCTCTCTCTGGAGAGCCTGGAAAACTAAGCTGGTGTGATAGGAGTCAGTCGGCAGGGTCTTGGCTGGCATGGCTGACTTGGGTCTCCGTGAGCCTGGACGTGGAGAACAAACCTGTGGGGAGCAGCAGCGTGTACGATTAGCCCTGGTCTACACCCAAGCTAGGACACAAAGCTGCTTTCCTCTTGGGATTTGTAGGAAACGTAAGGTAATGATGCCAAAAGTGGTTCTCTCTCATTAAAACAACCAGTAAAACTATCCTATTTTTTTGCACAAGGTGTTTCATTATATTTTTTATGGGAAACCAAGGGAAAAGCACACTGCAATTCATTCAAGTGTTTTAACTGTTGTGGCTCATTTCATGTTTGTGTGACAAAGAGCTCAGATCCGACTTCGGTTACCAATGTGTCACTTATTCAAAAACCCAACTATGCCCTTAGGTAGAAAGATTTTATTATGTGTCTACTAGGCAGAGCAGGGTTGAAAAAAATACCAGCTCCCAGGGGGTCCATATGCCCACAACAGTGTTAGCCACCTTGATGTACCCCATTTGTCTGCAGGTACCAAATGAAGAAGAGCAAAAAAAAAAAAGGTGTGGGAGCTGCACGTTTACATGTGTTCTTAGCTATGCTCACTACACGACTGGAAAGCCATCAATCTTCAAAGGCCTCAAAACTACTTTTATAGTAATAACAAGTGCACACTCTTAGTTGGGTTATTAAAAATGGCATGAACACGGTCTCCACAGAGGTGGTATGCTGTGCTTGCTGGCACAAGTGGGGGGCGGGGGGATATTTTTTCCTCACTTGTTATGACTTACTGGAAAGGCATTGGGCAGCCAGAGACAGGAGCCAGGGTTGGGGTAGTTTCATAGGAAAGCAGGACTGAAGTTAGCTTTAGCATAAAAAGAAAAACCTTTGTTCTTTATGTATATGTAATCCAAAAATAACAAACTCCACCAGACCAGGAGGTATGGACGGACACTAAACACAGTATCTAACCATGATGCACCCTCTGCTGCAGCTGGCACAGCACGTGGACTCAGCAGGCTGGGACCGTCTGGATGATTCAGGGCCTGGTCTTCGGGGTTCTGTGGGTTGCTGGGTTGGCGATACCAGGTTGCAGAAGGGATTCAAGTTCACAGAACACTTCAGAGGTGAACTCTGCAGGATAAATAAAACTGGTTATAATGTTAAAAAAGATTCTGGGCAGTGATGGAGGAGGGGTATGTTTTCATTGCTCTTATTTTGATGGTCAAAGCTCCCATCAGGTTTTTTCCCCTCCCCATTTGGAAAACATTATATAGTGGGCCATTTTTCTTTCTCCCAAAAACTGATACATGGATAATGGAACTGAACTATGTGCAACAGGAAAAGTCAAAAGGGAAACAGCAAAGGTTATCCAACATGGGCAGTAATTGAACATCAAGTCTGAAGTCAACTGGGTCAAGCTGTTAGCCCAACTGGGTTACTAGGATTCTGGGGGCAGAGAGAAATGGAGCGGGAGGAGGGATTGCAGTTCAGACAAACATCACAATAGTCTGGTAGTAAAGACGGAGATTAAGTAAAACAGGTTTTACTGTTTAGCTGCGTTCAGTTACTACAAAGTGTACATAAAGTATTAGTCCTTTGAGACTGACATGATTAATGATCAATGTGGTGGGAAACAATATAGTTATTGTACACAGGCACTTACAAACTCTCTATAGATCCCTGTTTGTTTCAAACAAAACAAGATGAACCATGATGCCCCTGGTCTGATATAAAGCCCCACTGGATTCTGTGGATACATGTAAGAAATGGCCTGTTTAGCCAGAACACTGGTGAAAACACCTATATCAGACTGTCGCTAGACAGGTGGATTTTTTTATATTTTATTATATGGAGGTGAGTGTTGGAGAAGTTAAAATTCCAATTTGTTTTCATTCAGTATTAGTTTAGTTCTAAATATAGCAAACCCCATCCAGGTGCTATCAGATGACCAGTTACTGCTTAGTTAAGTGTAAAATTTTTCATACACATTAATGTCAATAGTTTATTACAAGTTGTGCAAAATGGACTCTAGTTTAATAATGGGGAGAAAAGGATTAGGTTGCTCCTGAAACTGACTGTAGAGCATGTAAAATGATTTTACTGGATTCTGTTCAACTGTAATCAATGAAAAAAATGTATGTTGTAGACAAAGTTGCAGAATTAAAAAGAAATCTGCTTTTAATTTATTCTTTTTGTATTAAGAATTTGTATAGTACCTTTACATTTTGCAAAACAGTGTTGTCGACACTTATTAAAGCATTTTAAAATGAAGAGATCTCAGTTGGTTCTTGGAAATTTTTTTCTAGGTGATAAATGCTTAAGCATGCTCTGGAAATCTGTAGCTCAGTGCTTATATCCTTTTTTAAAAGTCAATGTTTTAAAATTTTTATTTTTTAATTACGGTTTGCATTCAACATTATTCTGTATTAGTTTCAGGTGTACAGCATAGCAGTTAGGCACTCTTACTTTACAAAGTGTCCCCCCGATATTTCAGGTACCCACCTGGCGCCATATGCAGTTACTACAGGATTTATTGACTACATTACCTACGCCGGACTTGACATCCCCATGACTATGTTGTAACTACCGATCTGTACTTGTTAATTCCTTCTCCTTTTTCACCCAGCCCCTCACCGTCCTCTCCTTTGGCATCCATCAACCTGTTCTCTGTATCTATGAGTCTCTCTATTTTGTTTGTTCGTTTATTTTGTTCTTTAGATTCCACATATAAGTGAAACTATATGGCATCTTTCTCTGATTTATTTCACTTAGCATAATACCCTCTACATCCATCCATTCTGTCATAGGATTTCATTCTTTTTTTATGGTTGAGTAGTATTTCATTGTATATATGTACTACAGATTTTTTATCCACTCACCTATTGTACAGATGCTATTCTTACAGTCGAGCTCAGTTCATTCAGTCAATTTTCTAATTCTCGTTCAATTTTTATTTTCCTTTTGTTACTTAGATGAAGGTGATATATGCTCATTTATGTATTTCTCCTACTCCATAAAAGGATGTGAGATTAGAGATCAATCTTTGTCAGGATGCTACTTTAGTACTTGTATCCCTGTTCATTATAAATAGTTACCCGTGTGCAGCATGTGCCAGGCATGGGTACTGTTCCCACAGAACAGCCCCTGGTGGAAGAGATACTGAGGACCCCCGGGCTCTGGAGGTCAAGCTTAGTCTGTCTTCATGTGGTCCCTGGTTCTGTGTGGGATGCACAAGGCCAATCAGGGAGACGGGCAGAATGCTCAGGCTCTTTACCATCACTGCTGTTCACTTCTGTGCTCACACAGCTCAAACTCTGTCACTCATCCTCTAGGTCATATCACACTGGGCCTGCAGTTACAAAAAAACCCATATTTATGGGCATAAAAGTAAGTGGCTGACCTCAGTGGAGACTTTGCTGTAATTGAATTCCTGTCCCCTAATCTAAGCCAACATGCATCTTTTCAGTAGCAGGAAACTGGAATCTGGCGGCCAAGAACATCCCTGGATGGAAGTTCTCCCCACACGGAAAGCCCTTGCTGAAGCATCTGCCACCAGAGCGGGCTAACCCCTGCCCAAAATGAGAGCTATGCACTGAGAACGCAGAGCCTGTTTGGAAGCATTTTATACTTCCTAAAGCCTTTCCTTGGGAAAGCAACCCAGGGTCCCTGTATCTCAACATAATCTACACTATTTTCAAATAAACAGGGATCTTCTACAAGTCTTTTACATGTAAATATGCCACGACCTAGGAAATAAATCTGATATCTACTCGTTAAGTTCTATCACATGAAAGCAACTCACACACAGGAAGGTGGGACTTTTCCATTTCTTCTCCACTCCTTCCTTTCACCGCAGACACACTCATTCCCCCCTTAGAAAATGCCAACAAGGCAATTTGGTTATTAGAGAACACAAAAGAAACACCAAACCCCAATAGAACGCACTAGAAATAGCCAGGTCTCTCCTTCCTCTCTCCCCCAAAACCAGTTCAAAAAAGCTCAGACATAAAATTTTCTCTAAAAAGGGTGTCAGAAAACCATAAATGAGGGCTAGCAAGCAGGCACCGGCCACAGCTGAAGTCATTCATTGCATATTCCTTGCTGCGTCCAGGTCTTCAAAAGCTCACGCTCTGAAGCCTTAGACAAACAGGCACAGGACCACAACACGGGAATCAGGTCGTCAGCAATAAACAGAAGAAAGAGGTTAAAATGAGTCCCCAGGATAAGAGACCAACGAGCATGTTAACAGGATCTCTCACTGATTCCTCGTTCAAGGTGACAGGTCAGAGATGGCAGAGAAAAGGCAGAAGAACCGTAGAAATATAGCCTCTTCGGCCTGGCACAAAGCCATGCTCCTGGCATTGTCAGCATCTACTCAGGCAAGAGCTGAGGGGCCTGGATTGCAATTCAGGAGCATAAACAGTGAGCAGATTGACACAGCCCATTCATTTATAACTGCCCCCAAGATTTGTTTAAATCAGAAACTTTTTTCCTCTTCATAAATCTATATCCCAACTAACTGGAAGTTTCCTTTTATTTTTTCACTCATGCATCTATTGTGTAGCAAACTCATTTCAATCATGCTTTCATTCTTCCCATTCCCAAAACCAATCTTGTCAAGGTCAAGGATGACTCCCCACAATGCTAAAATCCAGCTGTTTTCATTTTATGACTTACCAGTGGAGCCCTCTTGCACACAGCCTATCCCTCAAGAGCTTCCTTCGCTGTAACATTTTCTTCACTTGGATCCCAGGTGTTTCTCCTTTGCGCACAGGACTCGTTTTCCAATCCCCTTGGTAGTTTTTCATCTCCCTGACTTTTTAGCAGTGGAGCATCCCAGGGCCCAGGTCTTGGGCTCCTTTTCTTCATTATCCACAATCATTCTTCTTGTCGCTCTCATCTCATCTTACGGTTTTATAGGTCGTCTCTGCTGATGGCATCTCTACTTATCCCTACATCCTGGACCTCCTCTTTAGAACCTGTGTACCCTACTGCCTGCTCAGCATCTCCACATGGACATCTAACATGCTAACATGTCCACAACTGAATTCCTGACCTCCCCTTCAAATCTGCTGCATTACTTGTCTCCCTCAGCTCAGTTATGGGCAACCCCAGCCTCCCAGTTCCTGGGTCAAAAATCTTGGACTCATCCATGATTGCTTTCTTTCTCTCACACCTCACGCCTGCAGCAAAACAAATGAGGGTAAAATCCCTGCATTCAAGAGATTTATATTATATTTGGGGGTGGAGGGAGGAAAGAAAAAGTAAATTATACAAGCCAGTAGAAAGTGTAAGCAGGCAGGGACTGGGGAAGATTTAGCCTCTGACAAGGAGAAACATTTTTTTCCTCCTGTCAGGTCAGAAAAGCTGCTGGCAGGTGTGGAGGTGAAGAGAGACCCTAGGCTTGCTCCAGATTCCACATGGCGTGAGAAGAGATCGTGAGGCTATCCTCCCAGTGAGGGTCAGTAGGTGGCTGGGTAGGGTCAGGATGGAGCAGAGTAGAGTATGAAATGACCCGAGAAGAAATGAAGATGCAGAATGTCCTCCATGCACCACTTAGGGCCCAGCCACCACTGGACACCTGGTGGCTGTAAATTCCCTCCTGGTACTTACTAGCCAGGGCACCGGAGGCCGATGGAATGTCATAGGCTTAGGTTTTGCAGTGTGGTGTGGCAGAGGACAAAGGATAAGAGAGTAGAAGGTCCTGGTGAGAGTGACTGGAATGATGGCAATGGCTTCTAGATGGACTAGAAAGTGCAGCCAGGAAGATGAAGATAAAGCAGGAAACAGAAGAATAAATAGGATGCTTTGAAGAGGCCAAGGGACAGCAGAATAAAGGAGGGAGAGAGCAAGGGTAGGACTTCACGACCAGACAGTAGGTTAATACTCATTTTCCATAACATTAGCCACTCGCGTGTGGAGTGAACCACACAATCTAATGATCGTCACATGGACAAGTCCCTATTAGCCCAGCTGGTGTGGCTCAGTGGTTGAGTGTCGACCCATGCACCAAGAGGTCGCCATTTCGATTCCTGGTCAGAGCACATGCCCAGGTTGTGGGCCTGATCCCTGGTGCAGGGCATGCAGGAGGCAGCCAATCAATGTTCTCTCTCATCATTGTTTCTATCTCACTCTCCTTTCTTCTCTCTCTCAAATCAATAAAGAAAAAATATTTTTAAAAAAGAAAAGTCTGTTATGCTGATGCAGTTAATGAACATCCATCTGAGCTTGGGTACACGCACCTGGGTCTCATTCCCTTTGGGCAAGAGCTGCAAATCTGGTTGCCTGTCCTATCAGGAGACCAAATTTGCGCCAATTATTATTATTATTATAATTATTTTATTTTTTTATTCCTCACCCAAGGATATTTTTCCATTTTTTTTCTTAAGATAGAGTGGGAATGAGAGGGGGAGAGAGAGGAAAAAAACCATCAATGAGAGAGAGACACATCGACTAGTTGCCTCCTGCATGACCCTGACCAGGGCCGGGGACTGAACTGAAACTGAGGTACGTGCCATTGACTAGAATCAAACTCGTGACTCATTGGTCCATGGACCAACCCTCTAACTGCTGAGTCAAACTGGCCAGGGCCACACCAATTATTTTAATAGAGATTTGATAAAAACAATTTTAGCCAGATAGCGAAGAGGTCACAGAGCAAAAAGGAACACAGATGTCACAGAGATGTTGAGCACAGGAAGCAGCGACTACTCTTAGGCATGGAAAACAAAGACAAGGGATAATTGGAAGTAGAAGCTTGTAGGGGCAGCCTGTGAAGCTGGGTGTCAGACCTGAGGAGTGGGCACTGCTCCACGGGCACCAGAGCCTCAGGACCTTGGCAGGACCCCCTAGAGCTGGGCTCAAACCTACAAAGAGGGGGTGCTGGCTGATGATGCTGTGGCCTTTCAGTGGTACGATGAAGTAGTACAAGTGTGGAAAAACTGTGAGTTAGCGCCAATTGCTCCTCCAGGAAGTAACTGTCACCACTGAGCTGGAGAACTCAGGCTGTGCCATCACTGTTAGGGACAGGAGGCTAACAAAAGCCAACCAGAAAAAGAAAAGTGTGGCCTGCGAGTGTCATCATGAGCAGAGCGTGGAAGGTGCGGTGGAAGCAGAGAGAACAGCCGCACAACCGGCACCTGCTGACCAGTAGCCTAGCCTTTCACCTCGAAGTTGTGGCTGGTGAACTCAGTAGTGATCCCAAGTCCCTAGGTCAACAGACAAACCAAACATCTCTAAATCAACACAGACCTCTAAAATCCACAGCTATAATATAAAGGACAAGCCAATTTCCAGATTTTAGATTAAAATATTTTTTTAAATACAGGACAAAAAAATACAGGTATCTTTGACCCATGTTAGTATAATGTGAGTCGCTGTCTTGGAATGAACTTCAGTAGTAACAGGTCAAAGCATATGAAGACACTTTCCCAAAATGATGAAATCACAATCACTATTTTCTACATATCTTTTACATCCATAACAAATACTAGCTTATTCCTCTCAAACCATTTCTTATTCTAAGGAAAATTCGAAAATAATGTCTAAAAAGTGCATGGCATATGAGAAGAATGGGTACTGAATGAATGGTTGAATGAATGAGTTTACATCAGACCATGTGAAACCTGACCATAAAGTTCTCCCAGGGGATATTCAGCCATGAGTAGCAAGTCTCCATTTCTATCACAAAATCAAACTTTTGCTTAATTCCAATCACATTACTCTTATTAGCTGCCCTTTGCTTTGTTATAGAAGGAGAGGGGTTTTTCTTAGTGCTCTCCTGTGCTCTCTTTGAACAAAATATTTTCAAGTCTGTTTTCCTTACAATCCTTCCAAATCTTTTTTGCTTAGCAAATTTGAAATTCTTTAATTTTCAAGGTCATGCATTTCTATTTGTATGTGTGTCTGTTGTTAAATGCAGGCACTGTTTGGTAACTTATATTGGATGTTGTCTCAAGTCTATAGAAATCATCCAAAACGGTTATCTAATGGCAATCCTAGGACTTCAGAAAATATTATTACCATGGAATGCAGTCACTAGGTCCTAAGGATTTAACTAGATGCTATTTACTGAAACGCAACTTCATCAAATCCTTTTCCATTCCACTCTGATCTCCCACATTTTAATATATTGCTCATTCTTGTTACCAAATCTTACTTATATCTGTTAAGCTATTAAATTAAATATTAACACATTCTTGACCAGCAATTTTACACAGAAGTTATCTCATGTCACTGGCTTTTTCGTAATTGAGTATGAAAGTGAAACAATCTAAATAAACTTCAGTATACTTTCTTTATAATGAATTTAAATGAAACTTTGTACATACCTGCTATATATTATATTTATACATATTATATATTTTAGTAATTTTTTTGGTGTGGTATACTCTATAGAAATCACCTACATGTAATGAATGGTATGCACCAGGTTTTGCAAATATATCTGGTTTCACTGTGCTTTCCTTTTGAAACACACACTTTACAAGTTCTAGCTGGATTTTTTTTTTTTTTATACCAGTGACCACATTTTTTCTAAAATGTGGTCTTTTAGTTGCCCTGAAAGCTTAAAAGGTAAATCAATGGAAGGAGGGAGCTCTTTTAGAAGTATCAGAAGTGTTAGGTTCTGAGCTGTACTCATTTGAACCAGCAGATATCCATTCCCTAGCTACTTCAAGCAGAAATTTTTTGTATCTTATTTTGTCTATTGTAATTACAGTAAATTTTGAATGCACTGAATAAAGCGCAATTGATCAGAAAGAATGCTACCTTTTTAGACCACTTTATATACTTTTTCGAAAGATACTGCTGTTCGCCAAATATTAGTCTCCTCGATCGACTCCTTTCATGTATTTGTTGTAATCTAATATGCACGCAGGTTTAACTATATCTTCCGTAGAAGTTCTTTTTCACTTCTTGTTTTCATAGAGGCATCATGGATAGTTGATCATAGTCACAAGTCTTTTATCTTTCCATGATATAAGGACAATGGGTCCTTTCCGTAAAAACATTTCCCCTCTCTGAATATTCTTTGACTTTTCTTTTAGTACCTTTGGTAAGCCACAGTTTTCTCTTATGGTACCAGATTAACATTTTCTTTTCTAATGTTTCAGCTGTAGAAACGCTGTTGTAGTAATTATCTTGGTATACATGATGCCAAGAATCAAGATACAGCTCTAAGACAGATAATATAGTTTCCTGCAGCCTTTTGCCTTCACCCAAATAAATCTCGAAGTTGCAAATGTATCCACTTTCGCTTTCACAAAGCATTCTCACTAAAATCCCATACTTTATTATTTTTGCCGCATTATGTGTTCTGAAGCTGATACGTCCTCTATATGGTTTCATTGCTTCATCTATCTATCCTGCTTAGATAGATACAAAGACTGAAGTTTTGGAAGAAAGTAATCCAAAAGAGGTCTAATTTTATATAGTCTGTCTTCATTAGATGTATTTTGTGAATTATCACTAGGGTGGGAAAATGTAAGCATTTGCTCGAGCCTCATTCTGCTCATAGTTTTAGGAAATACTGGAGCTTCAACCAAAGGATCCGTTGACCAGTAATCCCTCCAATGTGATTTTTCCATTTGTCCCATTAGTATCAACAAACTGAGATACTTCTTTAAATCGGTATTGGTAACTTTCATCCATGGTACAGTTTTAGGAGATTTTCTGTAAAACTGTTCCATTTGGTGGTGGTATAAATTGCTTTGAGAAACAACTAAATCAAAAAAATCATCACAAAAGGAGAATCATTTGTAACAAAAATTAATCAATAGAAAAATAAAAAATAAAAAAATAAAAAATAAATCATCACTAAAAAGTACTTCCATCACTTCCCTGATGCTCCGTGGATCACTAAGGTCAGCAGTTAACACCCAAAATATTTGAATAATCCTCCAAAGTTGGTGTAATATCATTTTCAATCCACTCTTCTTCAAAATCGCTTTCACTATCAGATCTTATTACATTTCTTTTTTGTCGTTTTGGTGGTCTAATATCCAACTCATTACTGTCTTCCAATGAACTATCAATTTCTACATCACTACAATATATTTCAAGATCACTCGGACAATCAGGTAAAGTGTCTGCATATAATTAATTGAAATGTTCACCTTCACAATCCATCATGGTTTAAACTTTTGTAATACTATAATTGTGATAAAAACCTAAATATCAAGAAGTCTTTTATAATAAACTGAACCCGACGAAGAAAGATTTTACAATAGCGTTGATATGTATGTTAAGACTGCGAGTGGTTAGAAGATAGTCCAAGTTCAGACAGCTCGACAATGTGATTGTTTTGTTTCCCACACCTTCGATTTTGTGGTCCCGAGCCCGGAGGAGTGGGAAGAAAAGGAGTCCACAGGAGAAGACAGAATGGTGTGCTGTTCTTCGAATTCTGACCCTCTGGGCAAAGAGTCACAAATACAATAATCCTATATTACCCTGAGTTTCAAAAATTGAAATAGCTAATGCAAGTGCAAACATGAGTTACCTCGTGATCGGTCAACAACTTTGGGCATGAAAACACGAGTTAACTCATGAGCGGTCAACAATGTGTTAATCATCCCTGCTTCCCTGATTTTTGAGGTGGCTTTTCCTCTTGCTATCCTTTAATAAAGGGGAACACTCCCTCTGGTCTTTTTTGGTGCCTTATGTAATTAAAGGGTTTGTAAATGTTCACATTTTTAGCAATTATGTCATTTTCTTAATATTTTTCTTTGTTCGTCTCCAAAAGTTGTTGCTATTCCTTTAGACTTTTCAGGAGAAAGAGTCTCCTCTTTTACTTTTGTGACATACCTATTTATTGTAGAGCTCCTGAGCTTTGATCAAATTTCTCTTCAATCTTCCCATCTTTTGAGAAAAGATATTATTTGGTTTTTATTAGGTATTTTCAGTTTTTCTAAAGTGTATATACTTCTCTACACATTATCCTCTTTTCCCCAAAGTAGCTTTCCAAATAAAAACTTAATAAAATAGAGAGTAATAGAACTCATCAGATGAGCTCTTCCTAAATCTCTCCTCTACCAGAAATGTCTCTATGGCCACAGAGTCCTTCTCCCTCCGTGCTCTTCTGTGGTCCCAGAGCTAACCTGTCCCTGCTCTGGAGTGCACCCACGTCTGCCTGCTGTGGGCCTGTCTGTTCATTCCCCTTCTCCTCTAACGTTACTTTTCCCCCTCTATTGGCTTTTACCCTTTGACATATAAATATACTCACATTTTTCCATTTTAAAAATAAAAAATCCTCTGCAGTGCCAGAACACATGCAAGCACGTAACTGGGGCCGAGGGCTCCCCGCCGGTGGCCCTTTTAACTGCTGGTGACAGGGTAGCAGCGTGCTTCCCAGGGCGAGTTTTCCAGGGGTTGTGACTGACCCAGCCCTTAGCAAGGACTGAAATGCCCTATGGAAACATCGGAGATCCTGTAGGCTCTGCTACTTAGGGCCCTGCACATTAACTATATTTGTTCTTTTTCCTTGGTGATAAGAGACACGTATCTTCATTACCGCGCTGTGGATGGCTATTGAGAAGGAAAAAATAAATAAATAAAATAAAAATGAAAAATCCTAACAGTGTAGTTTCCTCTAACTACTATCACATCTCTCTGTTCAGCCAAATGTTTGGGAAGAAAAGCCCTTGGTTACTTTCTTCACTTTTTCATATCTATTTGCTTCTTTACTCTGGTCTCCATCCTGCAGGCACACATCCCACATCACCCAGCTGCCACAGCCAAAGGCGTCTGTAGCTTTCTGCCCTCCAAACAACATCTGACTGTGTCTAGGGACTTACGCACGGAGTGCCCATTGGCCAGGCACTGGGGTAGGTGCTGTGGCGCCAGAAATGGATGGCAGTTGTGATTCCCACCCTCTTGGCTTCAACAAGTCTTGGCTCACCTTCGCAGGCTTCACCTAAATGTTACTTAAATCTTCCTATTCTCCAAGTCTTTTTTCCCCTTTCTTATTGTATATAGCTTCTCAAAGCAATCCCTTCTGTAGCCACGTCTTCAATTACTATATATACTCTAATGACAATATACTTTTTTATTTTAACAGTTTAATTTTACATTGTGTACCTTATTCACTAAAACCATAGATTCCAAATTGCTCTATAAAAGCAATCATAAAAAAAAGTGATATTCTTAGCATGTCAACTTTAGGAAATTTCCCTAATTACTTTTTTTGGTGGGGGAGGAGGAGGATTCAGGCTGGGAAGAGGCAGGAAATTTCTGAGGTGCTTCTAGAAATGTTATATATCTAGATCTTGTTTTACATCTTGACATATATTACATATATCAAGAATCATTGAGCTCTACAAATAAGATCAGTACATCTCACACACTACCCCGTTTATTGGTATGTTCTATCTGAATTTAAAAAACAAGATATTAGCTCTGGCCGGTTTTGCTCAGCAGTTAGCGCATCAGCCGGCGGGGTTTGATTCCGGTCAAGGGCACATACCTCGGGTTGCAGTTCGGTCCCTGGCCCTGGTTGGGGTTGTAAAGGAGGCAGCCAATCAATGTGTCTCTCTCACACTGATGTTTCTCTCTCCTGCCTTCCCTCCTTCCCTCCCACTCTATCTGAAGATAAATGGAAAAATGTTCTCGGGTGAGGATTAAAAAAACAACTACTAATTACCCCATTAAATTGCTTTTGCAATGACTTCTATAGCAAATGTCTTAACGCAGAAAAAGTTTGGGTTTATGGTTTACCAACGGCCAGCAAACAGTGGCCGATAGGCCACCTGCCTCGTTTATAAGTGAGGCTTTACTGGGACAGCCATAGGCTGAGTGATTGTGACGGAGACCTAAGATCCTTAAAGAAAAGTTTTGCCAACCTGGACGTAAACTTCAAATAATAACTTTAAACTGTCCCTTTTTAGGATAATTCAAATCAACCTCATGAAATGCCAAAGTAACAAGGAGATTCATAAAACAGCTGCATAAATTAGTTAGTTAACTGTAACCAAGCATTTCCAAAACTCTAACGTGGGTGTGGCAGCACTCTTTGCCTTAAGCTGCACTACCAGTTTAATGACACAGATCACAAATTGGGACTTTATTTGTCCTTACACAATGCTAATTTGGAGGGGAGGGTTAATCCTTACCCAAGGATATTTTTCACTGATTGTTTTTAGATAGAGTGGAAGGGTGGGGGGAGGGAGAGGGGGAGAGAGAAAGAGAGAGAGAGAGAGAGTGCGCGCCAGCGAGCGAGAGAGAAACATTGGTATGAGACAGACACATGGACTGGTTGCCTCTCCCAAGACCCCTACTGGGGCCAGGGACTGAACCTGCAACCCAGGTGCATGCCCTTGCCCGGGAGTTGAACCCTTGACCCTTTGGTCAGTGGGCAAACACTTCAACTGCTGAACCAAACCAGCCAGGGCTGATGGTAATTTTTTTAAATTTGGTGTTCATATATATATATATTTTTAAAGTGTCCACTTAAAAAAAAAAATCGAGATTTTGGCTGTTCATACAAAGAAAACAAGATGGAGCAACATTGGAACCATAGTCCTACAAGGTAACACTGAGCTAAAGTAACTCCAGCAACCCTGAAGCTAAGCACTGGTTGACATGTCACACTGTGCTTGGCCTGTCCACTTTCCTGACAGCGGAGATGAGACAAGAAATGCTGCTATTAGTGCTTACTTGAAAAGTAGGAAAGCAAAGGACAGGCAGGGATCAGGTGTTTAACTCACTTAACCAGGGATCAGGTTAAGCTCACTTGTTTCCTGTCGTGGGCATGCAAGCTTACAACTTTGAGTTTAAGCAACAGCCTCTAGCAAAAAGGCAGAAAAGAATCAGAGATGTCTAAGGGCCAGAGGACCAGACAGGGCAGTAGTTAACTCGATGCTTGCATCAAATTGTAGGGATCTCCCCATTCTTCCAAAGTGGCCCTGTTCCTGTCTCAGGTAATTCTGCCTAGTAAAAGGCTTCTTCGTACTATTTTTGTAATCTCTACGAGTCTATATTCATTTCAAAATAAAATGTTTTAAAAAATAGTATTTCCTGCCCTGGCCGGTTTGGCTCAGCGGTTAGAGCATCGGCCTGCGGTCCAGAGAGACCCGAGTTCGGTTCCCGCTAAGGGCACGTACCTTGGTTGCAGTTTGTCCCCGGCCCTGGTTGGTCGTGCGGGTGGCAGCCACTCGATGTGTCCCTTTCACGTCGATGTTTCTCTCTCTCTCTCTCTCTTCCCCTCTCTCCCTCCCACTCTATCTGTACAAAAAATGGAAAAATGTCCTCGGGTGAGGATAAAAAAATAAAAAATAAACATAAAAAATAGTATTTCCTTACACTGATTAAAAATCTGTCTTCCTTCCTGTACCTTAATGGGTCCTTAGCCATATATAATATGTTTAATTTAATCTCTCTTCCAGCAGAAAGCTCTTCCATTATCTGTAACTCTCTTGCCCACATCCCCACCAAGAGTTTTCTTCCTCACGGACTCTCCTGTCCTATAGAGTATTCATTCAATCAGCAAATATTCCTTGAGTACCCGCCATCAGTATAGTACATTCTAGACTCTGGGGGTGTAACAGTGAACTCTGTTCTTGCCTTGTGGAACCAACACTAAATTATCATGTCTGATAATGTAATATAAGCTATCATTAGACTCTCTCTCTCTCTTTCTCTCTCCCCCTCTCCCTCCCCCCACCCTTCCACTCTATCTAAAAACAATCAGTGAAAAATATCCTTGGGTAAGGATTAACCCTCCCCTCCAAATTAGCATTGTGTAAGGACAAATAAAGTCCCAATTTGTGATCTGTGTCAGTGGCCATATCATATTACTAATTTCATTACACTCATAATCCACTTAATTACCTAATTTGTACTCTTATACATTGCTCACATATATGCTCAACCAACTAGGTTTTTGGACCCAAATTTCTTTATGGTCATCCCTGCTAAGTGTTATATTTTTATTTTTTTAAGTGTTATATTTTTAGAATCTGCCTTTCTCTTCAGTCTGTCAAGAACTGCTAGAACGTCAGTTTCTTTTCTACCTTAGCACACACCCTCTCCCTTCTAGTTTCTTGTCTATAAATCTGGTAAATATACCTCTCTGTATAATCATCTGAATCAGTCATTAAAATGTTAAACAGGACAGCAGTGAGGTCACTAAGAACCTATGACGTATGTTACTAGCACGCACCCAAGTACCATGGATCCATTAGTCAGTACTCCCTGGCTTCCCTCACTCAATAAGCTGAGAGTCACCTGATCATATTGTCATGTCTTTATCTGTTCACCAAAATATTATTAGGTTTAGGTCAAACACCTTCCCAAAGTTCAGATATAGTATGTCCACCAATTTTCCCTAATCATGTTGGGGAAAAAATCATTTTGAAAAAAAATTGGAAGGTAACAGTTAAAAGGAACGAACGACTGAAGGAAAATGGATCACTACGTAATTTCCAATATAAACCAGGAAGCTTTATTTATTTTTATCCTCACCCAAGGATATTTTTCCATTTTTTTGTTCAGGTAGAGTGGGAGGGAGAGAGAGAAACCGAGAGAGAGAAACATCAATGTGAAAGGGACACATCGAGTGGCTGCCTCCCGCACGACCAACCAGGGCTGGGGACAAACTGCAACCAAGGTACGTGCCCTTAGCAGGAACTGAACCCGGGTCTCTCTGGACCTCTGAGCCAAACCAGCCAGGGCTAAACCAGGAAGTTTTAAATGTAAATACTAGATATACTTAAAAAAACACACACAAAAAAACAGCTTTTGGGAGGTACCATTATTTGAAAAAGAAATGCTCTTCAATTAAGACAATTTATCTAATTATATGAACGTTAATACATGCTGTATCTTTGACCAGGGTATAATTGAACACAGACAATTTTATCATTGGGAATTGTTTCTATTGTTAAAGTCAAACAACTTTTTTCCCCCTCAACTAAAAGCTTCTTGCCTTCAACACAGTCACTGGTGGTTATTTTAAAAAACTGAAATGTCCTAAAATTTCCGTAAGTGTATTTGAACTCTATAAACTCTACCATTCATACCAGAAAATCAGGTTGAAATAATTTGTTAAAATGCTAATATATGTGAATAAAGCATAACACAAATTAACATTTACCACTTGGAACTGAAATACAAACAGATAATTCATGAATATGGAAAAGACTATTCTCTGACAGAAAATTTAAAAGCACTTTATGCATTTTAAGTGAATTTTAAATTTTAAGTAAACTTTCAGAGTATCATCTTCAAGCTTTAGAATTCACATCCAGCAAAAGTCATACAGACACAACCTGGGATTCCTGACAATTTGGCAAAAGCTAAGAATACAGTTGATTTTTTTTCCCCACTAAGAAAAATTTAACCAGTAAAAATGCAAACAAGTTTATGTGAGGTATGTACAACTAAGAAAACAAACTATAAACACTTCAGACCTATTTGTGTAGAGAAGTACTGTTATACATTGATTAAAAAATTATGTTCATCAACACCAAACTTTTACTATTCATGTTTTATCCTAGATGTTAAATCTACCTTGAAAGTAATAAAACAAGATTTACTACAAAACAGTCTAAATTTGCCGCTCTTCACTAAACTTCCCAAAGCAAACTGCAATAGTCTTATCTCAATGCTAAGACAACTAAGCACAACCATTCACCATGTCTTGCATTTTAAGAAACTGAAAAGGTTTTTATTTGATTCAGTGACAATGTCTTAAACACACCTATTTATAATGAGTGGGCTTACACCCTATCATGCTATGTTCTATTTGCTATAATTCTTTTGCTCTCCAAATTTAGTTTTGCCCTGGCCAGTTTGGCTCAGCAGGAGAGCATTGGCCTGCGGATCAATGAGTCATGGGTTCGATTCCAGCCTAGAGCAATGTACCTCGGTTGCGGTTCGTCCCTGGCCCTTGTCAGGGTCCTGCAGGAGGCAACCAATCAATGTGTCCCTCTCACTTTGATGTTTCTCTCACTTTGATGTTTCTCTCTCTCTCCCTTTCTCTCCCTCCCACTCTATCTGAAAATAAACAGAAAAATATCCTTGGATGAGGATTAAAAAAAAAAAAAATTTAGCCCTGGCTGTTTTGGAGCATTGGCCTGTGGATCAGGGTGTCCTGGGTTCGGTTCCCGCTAAGGGCACATACCTTGGTTGCAGTTTGTCCCTGGCCCCGGTTGGGATTGTGTGGGTGGCAACCAGTCGATGTGTCTTTCTCACTTCGATGTTTCTCTCTCTCTCTCTCCCTCCCTCCCATTCTATCTGAAGACAAATGCAAAAAACCGTCCTCAGGAGAGGATTAAAAAAAAATTTAGGCCCTGGCCAGTTTGGTTCAGCAGTTAGAGCATCAGACTGCGGTCCAGAGAGACCCAGGTTTGGTTCCCGCTGAGGGCATGTACCTCGGTTGCTTGTCCCTTGCCCAAGTTGGGGTTGTGTGGGTGGCAACCATTCGATGCGTCTCTCTCACATTGATGTTTCTCTCTCTCTCCCTCCCACTCTATTTGAAAAATAAAAAAATGTCCTCGGGTGAGGATAAAATAAAAATTTAGTTTTGAAATTGGAGAATATTAACCTCCAGAGAAATTTCTCTTCCTCCAAACTGCTTCCCTGAATATATTTCTACTGTGTTTCATCATTTAAAACATGTGGAACATGCCTGGAGAAAAATCTTTACTTGTTCTGGCATGGATATCAATCACAGTGACACCAATGGACCAAAGGGTATTTCCAATGGCCATCTGAAGGTATGCATCATTAGCCTAAAAAATAAAGATTAAGAAGGATCAGAAAAGCAGAAATATTGTGTTGGTCCAAACTTTTATTTCAAGTATTACAGCTCTTTATGATATAATTTTCATCCATCTCTTAAGCATGTTGAAAATATTACCATTCCCCTCTTCAAACAAAAGAAATTAAAATACGGATATCTGACTGCCTAGGACCACAAATGTCCAGGGAAAAACAGAAAAAAGCTACCTCATGAGTAAAAAGGCAAAACATTTTTCTGCAGCTTCTGTGCACTGAAAATTAGTGCATTTCAGATCTGGAATTATTACGTAGCTAATTTTATGTGCTGAGAGAAACTCTAATTTGGTTCTCCTTTTGACCTATTTCTTCTCCACAGGTGGTCCCACAGAAGACAGAGGCCAAGCAGTTTTCTGTAATCCAACCTGAAACAGTCCACTCCCTGCACAGCAGACAGACCTCTGAGAGCAGGGGGCTCTGCACGTGGGGACTACTACATAGGGCCTGTGGCACACGTGTAAACCGAGATTAAATACTGGCCCTTGAGTCAAATAGCTCAAGGATGGGATTGGTTCACTTCAGACCCCCAAACCTCCCACTTGCCAAGAACTTTAAAATAAAAGCTACACAATGTAAAGACAGAAACCAATGAAGATAAATAGCTCTTTTTAAAACCAAGCCTGGCGACTTGTGAAGAAGGAAAAGAAGAAAAGCAAGATAGAAAGCAAGGAAATTCTAAAAGACCTTGAGGGTTTCACAGAAGCCTATATAGTCAGGCTCCGAAGAGATTATAATTTTTAAGAATTGGTATTACAAATAGCTCTACTCAATTTAAAAAAAAAATTTGTTTTTCTTTACTGATTTGAGAGAGAGAGAGGAAAGGAGGGAGAGGGAAACACTGATGAGAGAGAACATCAACTGGCTGCCTCTTACATGTCCCCATTGGGGCTTTGGCCCACAAGGCATGTGCCTTGACCAGAAATCGAACTGACAACCTCTTGGTACATGGGTCAATGCTCAACCACTAAGCCACACTGGCCTGGCTCTACTCAATTTTTTAAAAGCTTAATTTTAAAAGGGTATATACACATTTTTATCACTGATTCCCGTGTGTGCAAATATTAACACTAGATATTAAAAATTTCCAATATTTAGTTTCCCTAAATTTCCAAAGAAAACTGTCCAAATAGGTTATTAAAGTTTCTTGGTTCTTTCTGTAGTTTACACAAAATAAACTTCCACCTGATTCTTATGAGAGAATGAGAAATGTCACAAGAGGAAAGGCTAGTGATCTGCATGCTTTCTGCAGTAACGGTGACCTATCCATCCATTCCAATGCCGTCCTTAGTAAGCAGCGTGCAACAACAGAAACTGTCCAAGAATCAAGTTTATAACCATAAAACAAAAACATTTCCTGTGATGAAACTAACTGGCTCTCCCATAGAGGAAGTAAAAATAATACTTGAGCATGAGGCTCTGACCAAGGAGACCATAGTGCCCCAGAAATGCCAGCAGTCCCTTCTGAGGACAGATCCTCAGAGCACAGTTAAGCAATGTCATTCCCACTTTTCTGTCAGGCCCTTTACGGCTCTGAACTGTCACTGGAACTACTGCACTGGAATTCTCTGAGGTTACCCTCTCGGGAGGCACAGCCACCAGAAGCAACGCTCCTGAGTCCAAGGTTATACCCACCAAGCAGTGTCCCACTACCAATCTCCACTACTGTGCACTAGGCCCTTCCCTTCTTGTTGCCCTCCACCAGCCTTCCACTCGCCTCTTTCTAAACTCTGCCCCAGCAGCACTTAGACAGCAGAGCTCTTTCCCCATGCCACCTCCTTCCAGAGCCCATTCAGGAGGCAAGACACTGGAGCGAGAGGAAAATCTTCCCTTACCAGGAGTCTGCTACTGCTGCAGTCCTGAAATCAGAGAGATGAATGCTGGTAGCATGACTTGGAACATTTTTCATAAAAACAAGTATAAGGGGTGGTCAAATTACATTGTATCTTAGTACATCAGTTCAGCTATACTAGGAATTGTTTTTATAGCTGGCCTGCAAATGAACCTACTTAACATTGCTTCTATGGGAAAATGTGTTCCAAGTCATAACCACCATCCTATAAATTTTGAAATTCAGTCCCATTCATGAAATGAACATTACCCATATCCAGTACATGATTTGAAGAATCTTTATGCCTACCTTCAAAATGAATGAAAAATACAGTGTGGTCTGAAAGTTTAATACTGAATGCTCAACAATAAAGCTTACAAATACATAATAATATAAGGTTCTTATCTTTTTACTATTAATTAACTTTACATTTATTCTTAAGTCTCCTATGTAAAACTCTCCCACACTAAATGAACATATTATATACTCAACCTAGATAAACAAATAACCATAATTCTGATGCACAGCATGGTAATATACCTTCACATATTCTCTCTGCAACATGAATTTAATCTGTTATAGATTCTTCAATATCAGCAGGAAGATTCTGAAAAAGATTTTTAAAAAAGCACAACTAATTTTGAAAGCTACTGTATGCAGTTACAGACTGCATTTATTCTAATTTTATATATATTTTTTTAAAAATCAGTTAATAAAAGCATATTTTGAGAAACCTCACCCTTTTCTGTAGCTTTCTGAAAAGGGGTCTGAGACAGGACTCAGCCTGTTTCTAAGCAGCACTGTTCAGTTTACCCTGCACACTGGCCTTCACATAATCTTCTTTGGCATGCAATTCTTGAGCCCAAACACCAAGAAGGAACTGTTGAAAGAATGGGTAAGATTAGACTACAATGCCACCCAGTGGTTGAACAAGTGTAAAAGTTCCCTAACACAAGACAGTATCCTTAAATTTCTTGACTGATTCCAGTATCATACACTAATATTTAATTAGTGAACCATACCTGCTTATTCTGTCATGTATGTTTTTTTTTGTTGTTTTTTTTTTATCCTCACCCGAGGACATTTTTCCATTTTTTGTTTAGGTAGAGTGGGAGGGAGAGAGAGGAACAGAGAGAGAGAGAGAGAAACATCGATGTGAAAGGAACACATCGAGTGGCTGCCACCCGCACGACCAACCAGGGCCGGGGACAAACTGCAACCGAGGTACGTGCCCTTAGCGGGAACCGAACCCGGGTCTCTCAGGACCGCAGGCCGACGCTCTAACCGCTGAACCAAACCAGCCAGGGCACTGTCATGTATGTTTTGAAGTAGTGCCTCTGGCAATTCACGAACCTCCCCATTCTATATATATTCCTAGCTCAAAGATAATCCATTTTCCCCTAAAAAGAATTACCAAATTACATGAATAACTATTTGATAGAAATAAAATTTTTATTTTAGTTTATTTATTTACTTTTCCTCATCCAAGGACATTTTTCCATTCCTTGTTCATACAGAGTGAGAAGGAGAGGAAGAGAGAGAGAGAGAGAGACAGACATCCAGGTGAAAGGGACACACTAAGCGACCACCACCTACCTGCATGACCAACCAGGGCCGGGGACAAACCGTAACCGAGGCATGCACCCCCAGCAGGAATCGAACCCGGGTCTCTCCAGACCGCAGGCCGACGCTCCAACCACCGAGCCAAACTGGCCAGGGCGATAGAAATAAAATTTTAATTGTATTGCTATTACATAAAATTCACCCCACCTAGATTATCACCCATAATACCATATATATGCTATGATATTTAATGAATCCCCCAAGTATGTTGTAGTATTTGGACTTCCTACTTCTGCAGTAGAGACAATACTTCAATTAAAAATTCCCTCTGAAGAGCCTATCTAAAGGAGAAGGAAAGAAAATAAGTAAAAGAAACTATGACCCATGTTGCCCCCCAACCCCAGAAAACTACAGCAGTGTCTCCTGGACAAAGAGCACCCTTCTAGAGGCAGGTAAACAGTGAAGGCTGAGTAGAACATACTCCCCTAGTGGCAATCCCTGTGCAATCCTATATAAGGAGAGGCTGTCACTCTAAGAGAAAATTCTAGTTCATAACTGGTTCCCATGCCCTATCTAGTTCCATATCATTTCCTCAACAGATTCAGAATCTTGATGACTAATTTCGATGACTACGTTGTATTTAAACTGTAAATGCAAGTAAAAGCATTTCTTGCATTTAAATCTCATGACCTAACCACATGTAATTTATAAATACATGCTGAAATAAATCTGGAATTTGCACACTCTACCTAAACTTCTAAGAACAAAAATGCTGAGAAGATGGAATGAGCATATCATAGCAAAAATAAGCAGCTACCTGTAGAATAGAACTGAGAAACGAGCAGTCTCTGAAAGGTTACTGATGCGCTTATTTCTATCGCTGCCAATGTCTTCCTTCCTCCTTCCTTTCCTTACTGTCATTACTTCTCATAAAAGCTTCTACAACTCTCTCCTCATTGCATTCCTTCCTAGTGTTTTAAAAAAAAATTGTAGAACTCCCCAAATAGCTTGTTCATTCCACTGCTGTAATTCTTTTCTTCGAGTTTACATTAGTGAACTTTAAAGAAAAGTGCCATGAGAAACATAAATATACATAAATGTATATGTCTTCGATTGACCACTACATCCAAGTGGACAGCAGTGTCATAAACAGTGTACACATCAGAAATGTTTACTGAGCTTTCTCTTCCAGTCACTAACCCTCGATAATCCACAAATATAAAAACAGTTCTTCACAAAACAAAATGTCCTCCTTCCTTAGACTGAAAGTACACATCTTAAGGAACTTGGTTATGATGTCCATGCCTTTATAGTCATCACGTTTTCCTAAAGAGTCTCTCAATGCCTGAAGAAAAACAGTGTACCTGCTCATTAGTAAAGAGCTATACTGACTATATACGCTATCAACACTAGTATCAACATGGCTCTTTATTACATAGACTGTCCAATTTTTATTTAAAAACCTTATAGAATTTCTAGACAATTTTTTTTTAAAACACACCAATTTGGTCCTGGCTGGTTTGGCTCAGTGGTAGTGTGTTGGCCCGCAGACCAATGAATCATGGGTTCGATTCTGGCCAAGGGCACGTACCTTGGTTGCAGTTCATCCCTGGCCCTGGTTGGGGTTGTGCGGAAGACATCCAGTTGATGTGTCCGTCTCATGTCAATGTTTCTCTCTCTCTCCCTCTCTCCCACTGTACCTGAAGATAAATAGAAAAAAAAAAAATATCCTCGAGTGAGGACTAAAAATAATAAAAACACAGATTCACCATTTAAATTTTGAAAGCATGTTATCTTTTATGAATCAAAAGAGAGAAGAGGGGGTATGAGGAGGGCTAATGCATATGAGATTTCTTTTCAGGGGAACAAAATTGTTCTAAATTTAGATTGTGATGATGATCATACCATCTCATGAATGTACTACAAAAGTATAATTGTACGTACACTTTAAATTGGTAAATGGTATGTTTTGTGAATTTCTCAATAAAGCTGTTAAAGCAAAGGGGGGAAGAAAAGCCCAGAACTGGATGCTAATGCCAATTATTCCAATAAAATTTAGGGTCCACATATGGTTGTTGGGTTGGCGGTACAATGAAAAGGATATCCTCCTCAATTATGATATCAACATGGGCAAGAGCAAGGAATGTAAGGAAAAAGAAAAATACTTCACATTTTATTATAAGTATTAACAGCTTAAAACTAAGTCATATTTCTTGCTCGAGCTAGATATCTGGATAACACAACATTGTTCTTTAATTGAGATTACGCATATCACGCCACATTCAACACACTGGCAAAAATCAGAAAGCAAAAGATCGCCCAATGTTGACAGAAATTAGGGATGTGAGACACACCCAGCTGGTGGAGCACAGATTGGTACGGCCATTCTGGAGAACAATTTGGGAACTTACATAAGTTAATTATATAAAATCAGCAATCCCACTTCTGAGTCTATAGGAGTAATGTGCAAGACTATTTATCACACTGGAAGAACTAACATCATTAAAATGTCCATACTACCCAAAGCAATCTATAGATTCGATGCAATTCTCATTAAAATACCAACGATATATTTCACAAAACTAGAACAAACACTCCAAAAGTTTATATGAAACCAAAATAGACCTCGAATAGCCCTGGATGGTTTGGCTCAGCGGTTAGTGTTGGCCCACGGACTGGAGAGTCCTGGGTTTGGTTCACCCTAGGGGCACATACCTTGGTTGTGGTTTGTCCCGGGCCCCAGTTGGGGTCGTGTGGGTGGTGGCCACTTGATATGTCTCTCTCTTCCTCCCTCTCTCCCTCCTGTTCTATCTGAAGATAAATGCAAAAATGTCCTCGGGTGAGGATAAAAAAAAACCAAAAACCTCAAATAGCCACAGCAATCTTGAAAAAGAACAAAGTAGAAGGAATCACAATATAAGATATCAGGTTATACTACAAAACTACTGTAAACAAAACAACCTGGTACTGGCACAAGAACAGGCATATAGATCAATGGAACAGAACAGAGAACTCAGAAATCGACCCAAGACATTATGCTCAATTAATATTTGACAAAGGTGGCAAGAGCATACAGTGGAGTAAAGACAGCCTCTTTAATAAATGGTGCTGGGAAAATTGGACAGCTAATGCAAAAAAATGAAACTAGACCACCAACTTACACCATACATAAGAATAAACTCAAAATGAATCAAAGACTTAAATGTGACTTGTGAATCCATAAAGCCTAGAAGAAAATGTAGGAAACAACATTTCAGACGTTACAAGCAGCAGAATTTTCACTGATGTAACACCTAAGGCAACAGAAATAAAGGAAAAAATTAATACATGGGACTACATCAAACTAAAAAGCTTCTGCACAGCAAAAGAAACAAGCATCAAAATGGAAAGGGAACCCACTATATAGGAGAACATAATTGCCAACGATAAATCAGATAAAGGGTTAATTTCCAAAATATATAAAGTTCTCATAAAACTCAATAAATGGGAGACAAAAACCCCAATTAAAAAATGGGCAGAGGACCTAAACAGACACCTCTGTGAGTAGGACATATGAAAAAATGCTCAACATCACTAATCATTAGAAAGACACAAATTAAAACAACTATGAGGTATCAACTCACACCTGCCACAATGGCCGCCATCAACAAATCATCAAACAACAAGTGCTGGCGAGGGTGTGGAGAAAAGGGGATCCTAGTACACGGCTGGTGGGAATGCAGACTGGTGCAGCCGCTATGGAAAACAATATGGTGTTACCTCAAAAATTTAAAAACTGAACTGCCATTTGATTCAGTGATCCCACTTCTAGGAATATATCCTAAGAAGCCTGAAACACCAATCAGAAAGAATATATGTACCATGTACCCCTATGTTCATAGCAGCACTTTTACAATAGCTAAGATCTGGAAACAGCCCAAGTGTCCATCAATAGATGAGTGGATAAAAAAGCTGTGGTACATATACACAATGGAATACTATGCAGCTATAAGAAAGATAGATCTCTTATCCTTTGAGACGACATGGAGGACCTGGAGAATATTATGCTAAGTGAAATGAGCCAGTCAGAGAAAGACAAGTATCACATAATCTCACTTATTTGTGGAATATAATGAACAAAATGAGGTGATGAACAAAACAGACCCAGAGACATAGAAGTAGGGTTCAGACTGACAAACTTCTGAGGAAGGGGGCAGGGGAGAAGGGAAGAGATAAACCAAAGAACTTATATTCATAAATGCATAACCAAAGTACAAAGACAACAGTGTGGGGAAGGCAGGAGGGCGGTGGGAACGAAAAGGAGGGCATCATCAATGGGGGGGGGGGTGGTATATCTGTAATACTTTTAACAATAAAGATTTTAAAAAATTAAGAATTGTGCCTGGCTAGTGTGGCTCAATGGCTGAGCATCAACCCATGCACCAAGAGGTCGCCGGTTCAATTCCCAGGCAGGGCACATGTCCTGGTTGTGGGCCAATCCCCAGTGGGTGGCATGCAGGAGGCGGCCAATCGATGTTCTCTCATTGATGCTTCTATCTCTCTCTTCCTCTCTCTAAAATCAGTAAAGAAAAAAAAATGAATTAAAAAAAAAAAAGAAAAATGTTTATGTTGCTCTGGCCAGTTTGGCTCACCAGTTAGAGCATAAGCCCACAGACCTGGGTTGTGGTTCAATCCCCCGTGCTGGTTGGGGTCATGCAGGAGTCAACCAATCAATGCTTCTCTCTCTCTCTCCCCCCCTCCTCCCTCGTTCTCACTCTTTCTAAAAATCAATGGAAAAATATCCTCAGGTGAGGATTAACAACAATAAACAAACAAAAAACTGTTGCTGCATCAAAGGCACTATCAATAGAATGAAAAGAGAAAATATTTGTAAATCATACACCTGATAAGAACTGATAACCAGAATACATAAAAACTCCTATAACTTAACAACAAAAAACAACATGATTAAAAATGGGCAAAGGACTTGAAGAGAAGAAGACACGCAAATGGCCAATAAACAAATGAAAACATGCTCAACATCACTAGTAAATAGGGAC